CTAGACTGTACCACTAGACTGTACCACAAGACTGTACCACAAGACTGTATCGCCACACTGTACCTAGACTGTACCACAAGACTGTACCACAAGACTGTACCACTAGACTGTACCACAGACTGTACCATAGACTGTACCACCAGACTGTACCACTAGACTGTATCGCCACACTGTACCTAGACTGTACCACCAGACTGTACCACTAGACTGTACCAAGACTGTACCACTAGACTGTACCACTAGACTGTACCACTAGACTGTATCGCCACACTGTACCAAGACTGTACCACTAGACTGTACCACTAGACTGTACCACTAGACTGTACCACAGACTGTATCACCACACTGTACCTGGACTGTACCACTAGACTGTACCACCAGACTGTACCACTAGACTGTACCACCAGACTGCCAGACTGTATCGCCAGACTGTCCACTAGACTGTACCACTAGACTGTACCTAGACTGTACCACTAGACTGTTGCCACTAGACTGCCTAGACTGTACAGACTGTATCGCCACACTGTACGTAGACTGTACCACTAGACTGTACCACCAGACTGTATCACCACACTGTACCCTAGACTGTACCACAGACTGTACCACCAGACTGTACCACCAGACTGTACCACAAGACTGTATCGCCACACTGTACCTAGACTGTACCACAAGACTGTACCACAAGACTGTACCACTAGACTGTACCACCAGACTGTACCACCAGACTGTATCCACACTGTACTAGACTGTGCCACTAGACTGTACCACAGACTGTACCACTAGACTGTACCACAAGACTGTATCTCATACACTGTACCTGAACTGTACCACTAGACTGTACCACAAGACTGTATCGCCACTGTACTAGACTGTACCACTAGAGCTGTACCACTAGACTGTACCACAAGACTGTACCCACAAGACTGTATCGCCACACTGTAGCCACCTGGACTGTACCACAAGACTGTACCACTAGACTGTACCACAAGACTGTATCGCCACACTGTACCTAGACTGTACCACTAGACTGTACCACTGAACTGTATCCTACACTGTACCCTAGACTGTACCACAAGACTGTACCACAGACTGTACACAAGACTGTATCGCCACACTGTACCTAGACTTACCACAAGACTGTGCCACAAGACTGTATCAACACTGCCTAGACTGTACCACAAGACTGTACCACAGACTGCAAGACTGTATCGCCACACTGTACCTAGACTGTACCACAAGCTGCCTAGACTGTACCACAAGACTGTATCGCCACACTGTACCCAGACTGTACCACCAGACTGTACCACTAGCTGCCACAAGACTGTATCACCACACTGTACCTAGACTGTACCACTAGACTGTACCACAAGACTGTATCGCCACACTGTACCTAGACTGTACCACTAGACTGTAAAAGTGTCAAGAATTCCTGGTAATATTGTTTCAGCGAAGACAATTTTCTGTAGTGTTATTATGTTCTCTCTCTTTCTCTCTTACATACATACATACATACATACATACATACATACATACATACATACATACATACACATACATACACATACACATACATACATACAGGTTAAATCATCATACTCCAGTTAAATCACCATACTCAGGTTAAATCACCATACTCCAGGGGTTAAATCATCATACTCAAGGGTTAAATCACTCATACTCCAGGGTTAAATCATCATACTCAGGGTTAAATCATCCATACTCAGGGTTAAATCACCATACCACAGGGTTAAATCACCATACTCAGGGGTTAAATCACCCATACTCTAGGGGTTAAATCACCATACTCTAGGGTTAAATCACCGTACTCAAGGGGTTAAATCATCATACTCAAGGGGTTAAATCACCATACTCAAGGGTTAAATCACCATACTCAGGGGTTAAATCACCATACTCCAGGGGTTAAATCACCATACTCCAGGGGTTAAATCATCATACTCAAGGGGTTAAGTTTTTCAGTTACTTGTGTCAATAAAACAAACGAAATAAAATAAACGATTGAATATTATTAATAAAACTCAAACAAATCATTAACGAATACAATAGCGACACGAAAACAAACGGACTGCTTGATTGTGTGATTGACAGGTGTGGATTGGTGTGGTGATGTGGTGGTAGAGTGCGTGTGGTTGTGGTAGAGTGCGTGTGGGTTGTGGTAGAGTGCGTTTGGTTGTGGTAGAATGCACGTGGGTGTGGTAGGTGCGTGTGGGTTGTGGTAGAGTGCGTGTGGTTGTGGTAGAGTGCGTGTGGTTATGGTGAAATGCGTGTGGTTATGGTAGATGCGTGTGGTTATGGTAAATGCACGTGGGTGGTGGTAGAGTGCGTGTGGGTTGTTGTGGGTCGTGTGGGTTGTGGTAGAGTGCGTGTGGTTGTGGTAAGTGCGTGTGGTTGTGGTAGAATGCGCGTGGTGTGGTAGAGTGCGCGTGGGTTGTGGTAGAGTGCGTTTGGTTGTGGTAGAGTGCGTTTGGTTGTGGTAGAATGCACGTGGGTGTGGTAGAGTGCGCGTGGGTTGTGGTAGAGTGCGTTTGGTTGTGGTAGAGGTGCGTTTGGTTGTGGTAGAGTGCGTGTGGGTTGTGGTAGAGTGCGTTTGGTTGTGGTAGAGTGCGTGGTAGAGTAGGGGAGGGAAGAAGGAGGAGGGGGGTGTGCGTGTGGGTGTAGGAGTCACTATACCGAAGTTAGTAATGTTGACATTGATTTCCTGTGTGGTGTAACATATTATACTCTCTCTCTCTCTCTCTCTCTCTCTCATGTCCACATTCTCTCACACACATCCCCTCTCTCTTTCACTCTCTCACTTTCTCTCATGTTAACTCTTTCAATAAATCAAATATATAAAAAACGAAAATAACAACAATAATATTACAAGCTGATATCAAGTGGTGTAGGTGATCGAAAAGTCCTTTACTTACCCTCATGACAACTATCCACGCCCTTGTTATATTTACGTCGTTATATACCGTGTTATACCTATAGGATATACTTATAAGTGGTTATATTATATGCTGGAAGACAGTTACTATATATTAATAATAACTGTAAGTCGAATAAGGTAAATAATAATGAATAATAATGGAGGTTGTTAAGGGTTGCGTTGGGCCTCCCGCACAACCCATCCCAAATGTTTGTTTAGGTAGAGATAAGGTACCCGGCCAGCCGATAGGGGTTATTTCACGCCTCAAAACCACATTTTAGTTAGTGGGCCTTAGACCTTGGTTGAGAAGACCTCCTGCTCCGCAGTTTCTACAATAGAACAGGGGCATACAGTCCTACCAGTGCTATGAGTCTGTGTGCAGAATCCAGATTGTTGTCAGCGAGTTAACGCATCCTGTAAAGGAAGTGATCACTGGTGAGGGCCTGTTTGCTAAAGAGTACCAGGCCGGCCTAATAGATCTAACGATTAATTCACCAGGTTGACAAACTCTCCCTTATAACTTACAGTACTGTGGAGTGAATGTGAGTGACTGACCTATCCATGCAAATTATAAGTCCAGTGTATGGGATTGTGCCAAATAAACGTAAGTGAAATGATCTGCCCGTATCTGTGATCCCTCTATTATTATTATTATCAAAGGTAATGACTGATTGGTTATGACAAAGTATAACCAGTAACTTAGATGGATGTTGGAAGTTAATGGAATTCATTAAATCATCATTTATCAAGTACATAACGCATTGAATGCCGGAAGCAGAGTGAAATTCTACGTAGTGATACACCATAATCTCCTGGGTGAGTAATCAGTGTGAAGGTATCCGAGTTCTACGGTAAGAAAACCACTTTATTGCATTTAAAACGTAACAGAGGTGAAATAAGAAACTAAGATGGGGTGTTAATTGTTACAGATGCACAGGGACTTTTCGATCACCGTGAGAATAGGTCCAAGTGATTAGAATATAGCTACACCATAGAGCCGGATATGACCACACTACATAGCCGGATATAATCAGTACAGCCAGATATAGCCACGTCACATAGCCGGATATAACCACACAACATAGCCGGATACAACCGCATAACATAGTCGGATATAATCACGTCACGCAGCCGGATATAACCACACTAAACAACCGGATATAAACATACCATATAGCCGGATATAATCACACCTCACAGCCGGATACAACACACTGGTTATTGAGCTGGCCAGATACATTATCGTTATATCTTCACCTTCCAAGTGGCATTGAAATCCGTTTGTGTTTGTTCATACGTCTTCCGTCCATGACCTGACCACACGCCTCGGACACCACCCTCCTAGCTGGCCACGGACACCTCCTCCCCCTCTACCCCTAACTGGCCACGTACACCTCCCCCTCTACCCCTAACTGGTACATGACACCCCTCCTAAACATTCATTCATCCAATAAATAAACTGACTGACTAACTGACTGACTGACTGACTGACCATAATCATACACATTCATAATACACTAACGAGAATGACTTATACACGATAAATAATACAATAGAGCGGTGAATCATACATACAAATACAACGAAGATAAATCATACAGAATTAATAATAAAATCAATACAAAATAGATTAGTTTAGGTGATAGCGAACCTTAGTTTTACACACACACACACACACACACACACACACACACACACACACACACACACACACACACACACGTGTGGGTCAAGTTGGCTTATCTGTCTGTCTGTCTGTCTGTCTTGTCTGTCTGTCTGTCTGTCTGCCTCTTTGCCACGAGGATACAAGAATGAGATAGAAATTCCTATCGCTATCCGTACACAGAGTCAGAAGAGAGGGAGGAATCGGGGGAAATAGGAGGAGGAGGAGAGTGAGGAAGAAGATGATGAGAAGGAAGAGAAGGATGGGGAGGAGGAGAGGGGGAGGAAGGAGGAGGAGGAGGGGGAAACTAAAGAAGAAGAAGAAGAAGGAAAGAAGACACCTCACCTCCCTCCCTCCCTCCAAAAAAAAAAAAAACTAATCCCATTCTTTCTTTCTTTCTTTCAACAGATGTCCGTACAAAGCGTTGGAGGAGGAGGAAGTAGAGGAGGTGACCTACAGGCCACAGAACTAAAGCCAGCGGGGCTCTCACAGAACAAGAGAGAGATCGCCGTGTATAGCAATTACTCCCGCCTGAGCGAGCACTTTAGACAAGTTACCCCGACCGAGCTGCAATGTTCAGTTTTCTGTGGTGGTCGGCGCTGCAAGTACGAGAACGGAGACGCCTGGAACAGCGATGATATGGCTATACCTGGGATATATTCTCATTGGTGAGTTGTGTGTGTGTGTGTGTGTGTGTGAACGTAAGTCAAGGTGAACGGAGGACACGAAAGGTACCTCACAGTGAACTTAAGAATTGACTTGAACATTATCTCAAGCAGTGAACGCCTCGGGATGAGAGAGAGAGAGAGAGAGATTCTACCTCTGTATATCAACTGTTTGTTTGTTTTTTTAACCATAAAAACCTTTGACCGCCTGACCTTTCATCCTACGGACCGAAAGCTTTTCACCTGGATATGATCTGAGTTGACCTGGGATGACCTGTGTAGAAGACATGGATATGACCTGTGTTGACTTGTTAACCTAGGATGACCAGTGTTGACCTTTCACCCACAGGGTCACGGACGGTATCCTGGCTATGGCTCGACCAAGCAGCGTGGTCATCATCAAAAAGGAACTCGTGGCACAGTTCCTGAAGTAAGTGGCACAGTTCTTAAGTATATGGCACTGTTCCTAAAGTGACACCATTCCTTACGGCTAGAGGTCAAATTGTTAAATCATCAGGTGAAATAAGCTTGGTGTACTAGTCTTCAAGTCATTCCAATCATTCTTTTCAATAATTCATTCCCACTCCACCTCTCAAGTATGATTCCCACTCCACCTCTCAAGTATGATTCCCCTCCACCTCTCAAGTATGATTCCCACTCCACCTCTCAAGTATGATTCCAACTCCACCTCTCAAGTATGATTCCTACTCCAGGTATTCCAAACAGCTGTAGTATGTCTTCTAGGGCAAGTATTTCACTATAATGCTTCCTGTCTGTCTGTCTGTCTTTCTTAGTCAGACATTCCTACTACGTGACTTCAAAGTTCCACCAACCATTAAGGTGTGTGTGTGTGTGTGTATGTGTTAATAATAATAATAATTAACGGTTTATTGAAAAAGTTCTGCAGCCCGAAGGCTAAAAAAATACATTGGACATAAATGACTTATTACATACATTGGTGGTTTAACAAAAGCCTTCATTAGAGAAAGGTAAAGGAACATACACTAAACATGCGGATTAATGTAGGTGTTGAACAGCAAACACGTAGTGTAGTAACTCCCTCCCATAGTGGTGTAAGAAGGAACCTCACGTGGTGTAGTAGTTCCCTCACAGGTGATGTTATGAGGGGCCTCACGTGGTGTAGTAGTTCCCTCACAGATGGTGTTATGAGGGGCCTCACGTGGTGTAGTAGTTCCCTCACAGATGGTGTTATAGAGGATCTGATGTGGTGTAGTAGTTCCCCACAGATGGTGTTATGAGGGACCTGACGTGGTGTAGTAGTTCCTCACAGATGGTGATGAGGGACCTGATGGTGTGTAGTTCCCCACAGATGGTGTTATGAGGGACCTGACGGTGTAGTAGTTCCCTCACAGATGGTGTTATGAGGACGTGACGTGGTGTAGTATTCTCACAGATGGTGTTATGAGGACCTCACGTGGTGTAGTAATCTCACAGATGGTGTTATGAGGACCTCACGTGGTGTAATTAATTCTCACAGATGGTGTTATGAGGACCTGGCGTGGTGTAGTAATTCCTCACAGATGGTGTTATAGAGTGAGGTGTGGTCCCAGGCCTTCCTATTGTAGACGGATTAACACATTGCTGGTTGTTGTTGTCTCACGGGCCGTTATCCCTGGTACCTGGGACCTCACTGTGTGAAATGACTCGGTTACTGTAGAGTTGTTCTACTGACTTAAGCACTGTTCAACACTGTTCAACACTGTTCAACACTGTTCAACACTGGTTCCATTCGTTCTAAATGAAATTGTAACTTCTGGCGAGAACTTGTTGATATTCCGGTGGGGAGGAGGGTTCAGAGGGTTGGCCGTTGGTCAAGTTGACCTGGCTGCCCCCAGAAGAGCGCTAGGTACGTCTTGACCCTTCAGTGGTCAAGGATGTGTGTGTGTGTGTGTGTGTGTGTGTGTGTGTGTGTGTTATTAGGATCACCTGATAATTACTGCCCCATCACCGTATTTCACCTACTGATTAACCTAACCTAATGCTAACCTAACCTAACCTCACCTATCTCCACCACCATCTATCTCTCACCATCTATCTCTCCCCCAGACACGACATCAGGACAGTGGTCAACCTACAGCTTCCAGGAGAACACGCATCTTGTGGTGAACCTCTGAACGACTCTGGCTTCAGCTACGACCCCAGCGTCTTCATGGAGAACGGCAGTGAGTACCACACCTCTCCAGTCGTACCTTCAAGGGGTGGAAGGAGAGGGTGGAAGGAAGGGTGGAAGGAAGGGTGGAAGTGGGGGTGGGGTGGGGTGGGGGGTCTTTAAGGATGTTCTCAAGATTTTTTGGGGGGTGGAGGGTGCAGGAGGGTGCCAGGAGGGGTAGGGAGGTGCCAGGGAGGAGGTGCCAGTAGGAGGGTAGGAGGGTGCTGGGGAGGTGCTAGGAGGTGCCAGTAGGGAGGGTAGGAGGTGCAGTAGGGAGGTGCAGTAGGGAGGGTGCTGGGGGGAGGGTGCAGGGAGGGTGCTAGTAGGGAGGGTGCCAGTAGGAGGGTGCCAGTAGAGGGTAAGGAGGTGCCAGGAGGTGCCAGTAGGAGGGTGCTAGTAGGAGGTGCTAGGAGTGTAGGGAGGTGCCAGTAGGAGGGTGCCAGTAGGAGGGTGCCAGTAGGAGGGTGCTAGGAGGGCAGTAGGAGGTGCCAGTAGGAGGGTGCCAGTAGGAGGGTGCCAGTAGGGAGGGTGCCAGTAGGAGGTGCCAGTAGGAGGGTGAGCAGTAGAGGGTGCCAGTAGGAGGGAAGCAGGGAGGGTGCCAGGGAGGGTGCCAGTAGGAGGTGCCAGTAGGAGGGTGCTAGGAGGGTGCCAGGAGGGGTGCAGTAGGAGGGTAGCAGTAGGAGGGCAGTAGGAAGTAGGAGGTGCAGTAGGTGGCAGTAGGAGGGTGCAGTAGGAGGGTGCTGTAGGGAGGGTGCCAGTAGGGAGGTGCCAGTAAGGAGGGTGCCAGTAGGAGGGTGCCAGTAGGGAGGGTGCCAGTAGGGAGGGTGCCAGTAGGGAGGGTGCCAGTAGGAGGGTGCCAGTAGGAGGGTGCCAGTAGGAGGGTGCCAGTAGGAGGTGCCAGTAGGAGGGTGCCAGTAGGAGGAGCAGTAGGGAGGGTGCCAGTAGGAGGGTGCCAGTAGGAGGTGCCAGTAAGGAGGGTGCCAGTAGGAGGATGCCAGTAGGAGGGTGCCAGTAGGAGGTGCCAGTAGGAGGGTGCAGGAGGGTGCCAGTAGGAGGGGTGCCAGTAGGAGGGTGCCAGTAGGAGGGTGCTGTAAGGAGGGTGCCAGTAGGAGGGTGCCAGTAGGAGGGTGCAGGGAGGAGGTGCCAGTAGGGAGGGCAGAGGGTGCCAGTAGGAGGGTGCCAAGGAGGGTGCCAGTAGGAGGGTGCCAGTAGGAGGGTGCCAGTAGGAGGATGCAGTAGGGAGGGTGCCAGTAGGAGGGTGCCAGTAAGGAGATGCAGTAGGAGGGTGCCAGTAGGAGGGTGCCAGTAGGAGGGTGCCAGTAGGAGGGTGCCAGTAAGGAGGGTGCAGTAGGAGGGTGCCAGTAGGAGGTGCTAGGAGGGTGCCAGGGAGGATGCTAGGAGGGGTGCAGGGAGGGTGCAGTAGGAGGGTGCCAGTAGGAGGGTGCCAGTAGGGAGGGCAGGAGGGTGCTGTAGGGGAGGGTGCCAGTAGGAGGGTGCCAGGAGGTAGGAGGATGCCAGTAGGGAGGGTGCAGTAGGAGGGTGCCAGTAGGAGGGGTGCCAGTAGGAGGGTGCCAGTAGAGGGTGCCAGTAGGGAGGGTGCCAGTAGGAGGTAAGGTGCCAGTAGGAGGGTGCAGTAAGGAGAGGGTGCCAGTAAGGAGGGTGCCAGTAGGAGGTGCCAGAGGAGGCAGTAGGGAGGGTGCCAGTAGGGAGGTGCCAGTAGGAGGGTGCCAGTAAGGAGGGTGCCAGTAGGAGGGTGCCAGTAAGGAGGGTGCCAGGAGGGTGCCAGTAGGAGGTGCCAGTAGGAGGTGCCAGTAGGAGGGTGCCAGGAGGGTGCCAGTAGGAGGGGTGCCAGTAGGGGAGGGTGCCAGTAGGAGGGTGCCAGTAGAGGTGCCAGTAGAGGGTGGCTAGGAGGGTGCCAGTAGGAGGGTGCCAGTAGGAGGGTGCAGGAGGGTGCCAGTAGGAGGGTGCCAGTAGGGAGGGTGCCAGTAGAGGGTGCCAGTAGGAGGGTGCCGTAAGGAGGGGTGCCAGTAGGAGGGGTGCCAGTAGGGAGGGTGCCAGTAGGAGGGTGCCAGTAGGAGGGTGCCAGCAGGAGGGTGCCAGTAGGGAGGGGTGCCAGTAGGAGGGTGCCAGTAGGGAGGGTGCCAGGAGGGTGCCAGTAGGAGGTGCCAGTAAGGAGGGAGCTGGGGTAGGAGGGTGCCAGTAAGGAGGGTGCCAGCAGGAGGGTGCCAGTAGGAGGGTGCCAGTAGGAGGGTGCCAGCAGGGGAGGGTGCCAGCAGGAGGCAGGGAGGGTGCCAGTAGGAGGGTGCCAGTAGGAGGTGCCAGTAGGAGGGGGTGCCAGGAGGGTGCCAGTAGGGAGGGTGCCAGTAGGAGGGTGCCAGTAAGGAGGGTGCCAGTAGGAGGGTGCTGGGGCAAGGAGGGTGCCAGTAGGGAGGGTGCCAGTAAGGAGGGTGCCAGTAGGAGGGTGCCAGTAGGAGGGTGCCAGTAGGGAGGGTGCCAGTAGGAGGTGCCAGTAGGAGGGTGCCAGGGAGGGTGGTAGAGGGTGCCAGTAAGGAGGGTGCCAGTAGGAGGGTGCCAGTAGGAGGGTGCCAGTAAGGAGGGTGCCAGTAGGAGGGGTGCCAGGAGGTGAGGAGGGTGCCAGTAGGAGGGGTGCCAGTAGGAGGGGTGCCAGTAGGAGGGTGCCAGCAGGAGGGTGCCAGTAGGGAGGGTGCTGGGAGGGTGCCAGTAGGGAGGGTGCCAGTAAGGAGGGTGCCAGGGAGGGTGCTGGTGGAGGGGTGCAGTAGGAGGGTGCCAGTAGGGAGGGTGCCAGTAGAGGGTGCCAAGGAGGGTGCTAGCAGGGAGGGTGCCAGTAAGGGTGCCAGTAGGAGGGTGCCAGTAGGAGGTGCCAGTAGGAGGTGCCAGTAGGAGGGTGCCAGGAGGAGGTGCCAGTAAGGAGGGTGCCAGTAGGAGGGTGCCAGTAAGGGTGCCAGTAAGGAGGGTGCCAGTAGGAGGGTGCCAGTAGGGAGGGTGCCAGTAGGAGGGTGCCAGTAGGGAGGGTGCCAGTAAGGAGGTGCCAGTAGAGGGTGCCAGTAAGGGTGCCAGTAGGAGGGTGCCAGTAGGAGGGTGCCAGTAGGAGGTGCCAGTAGAGGGTGCCAGTAGGAGGGTGCCAGTAAGGGTGCCAGTAAGGAGGGTGCCAGTAGGAGGGTGCCAGTAGGAGGGTGCCAGTAGGAGGGTGCCAGTAGAGGGTGCCAGTAATAGTGCCAGTAAGGGTGCCAGTAAGGGTGCCAGTAAGGAGGGTGCCACTTACGTCATATTGTGCCAAATTAAGCATCGATTACCACTACTATGTCTATCCTTTACCTGCCTTGTGACGTCATCGACTCTCTCTCTCTCTCTCTCTCTCTCTATCTCTCTCTCTCTCTCTTCATTCTTACTCAGTGTGTGTAATAATAATAATCATAATCGGTTTATTAATAGAGTTGCAGCCGGTGGCTGAAAAGTGTGTGTGTGTGTGTGTGTGTGTGTGCGTATTCATGTGTGGAGAATACAGACACAATGGGTCGTTCCAAACAATAATTCTCCGTACGAAAAAAAAGAAAAATAAATAAAAAGAAAAAAGAAACAAAACTATCTGTGACGTAGGCAATACCGGATCAGTATTGCCAATGTTTGCAAAAAAGCTTGGACAGTGTTACCAATAATCGAATAGCGATCAATGTTTTACAGTAACGATATAATATAATGTAAACAGAGAGAGAGAGAGAGAGACAGAGAGAGAGAATTTTTAGATATATAGATAGATAAACTGACAGACAGATAGATATATAGATAGATACTATTTCGGATATCATTAATAATAATAATAATAATAATAACACGTCCATAAATTATATATAAATATCTCCCAAACTAATTATCAGATTATAATGAAACTTTGAGAAATTATAGACTCAAAACCCAGGAGAAAGTATATACAATTTGGTTTTATTTGGATCAAGGACGAGGTTAAAGCGGGAGGTCAACGCGGGAGGTCAAGGCGGGAGGTCACAGGGAGGTCACGTTGTTGCAGCCCATGACCTCGTAGCGTAAAGACTGGGACGTATACAAGTGGTTTTTTTTCAGAGGCGTAAAAAACCAACAAAATATTTCCTACGTTAATATAAGAGTGTTTATTTTTTTCCCGAGGAGGATGGGGTGCCAGAGGTGGGGGGTGGGGTGTGAGGTGGGGTGTGAGGGTGGGGGTGAGGGTGGGGGGTGAGGTGGGGTGTGTGAGTGGGGGTGGGGGTGTGGACAGATGGGGGAATGCTGGATCACTTGACAGTGCTAAGTAATTGGGTGAGGTTACAGGTGAGGTTACAGGTGAGGTACAGGTGAGGTACAGGTGAGGGTACAGGTGGTGAGGGTACAGGTGAGGGAACAGGTGAGGGTACAGGTGAGGGTACAGGTGAGGGAACAGGTGAGGGAACAGGTGAGGGAACAGGTGAGGGAACAGGTGAGGGTACAGGTGAGGGTACAAGTGAGGGAACAGGTGAGATACTATACACATTCCCTCACACGGCTCTATGACGTACACAAACATACCGAAAAAAGTCAATTAACTAATGAAAAAAATGGTGTACGTGTGTGTGTGTGTGTGTATGTGTATGTGTGTACAGTAACACGTGTGTTCATGTATAACAACCCCCAGTAGTGTAGTAACAAGGCAGAGGGTCATATTATCCACAGAAGACCCCCTCTTCCGGAGAAGGAACGAAAGTCAGTTGGTTAATATAGAGCCGGCAGCCCAGTCACACCACACGTTGATTACAGGGCGGGAGGGGGAGGCAGGGGGAGGGGGAGTGCAGGGGAGGGGCAGGGGAGGGGCCCGGGGGGAGGGGCCAGGGGGGGGGCAGGGGGGACACCGGGGGAGGGGGGGACACGGGCGGAGATGTTGACAGTACAGGTAGACAGACTGATGAATAGACAGACAGACAGACAGACAGACATATTACCCGTCAATGGGATTACTCGTGACCATTGGCAACACTGCAAGGTTAC